AATTTTAAAGAAAATTTTATAAAACCACAAAATTTCTCTTCAAATCTGCATTAAATGAAAGAAACCCCTTTGCTAATTTTATAGATTTATCATACAATTGACAAAACTCTTGTATTCGTCTAACAAATAATCTTCATTAAAGAATCATTTTCATGCTGTTTATTTCTTAATCAAAGTGTCAAGTGTCAATCGTAATTTGTCGGCATTTTGCAGCTAAACGCTAGTCAAAAATAAAAAGCATACAAAATAAATAAACTTTAATCTTGATTAATATGCTGAATAAATTGAATCAGAAATTTTGTATATTTGTTATAAATACAGGCATAAACATATTCGTTATAATTTTATTTATTTTCAAATAAAAATCGAAAATTTTTAAATTTCATATTAAAGGTTAAGAAGCTGTTTGTCAACTACATTTTGTGTGTGTTTAACTGATATAAAAATGTCACCTTTACGGTTTATATTTCGTTATTTTTAAAAAAAATTTATCTGCTGGTTAGTTTTGAGTATGATGTCTGCCTGTATGTCTATCTGTATGTTTGTGTGTCTACTTGTTTAGATTGCTGATCTTAAAGATGTTGTTTGAATTTAATTAACTGGACATAAAGTTATTTATTAATTTTTTGGATAAATTATTTAAAATCGATAAAAGTTTTTATTTGTTTTGAAAATTGTTTAATTAAATAGTTTGATACAAATCTCTGTTAAATTGTTTTAACGGTTTATTTAGTTTATATATTTTTCAAACTTATTGGATATTTATGAATGAATTTGTCGTTGAACAGTGGGGTGCTTCTTTAGTTTATAATTAGATTTATTTAAATAACATGAAATGCTATTTTAAATTTTTATTATAAATAACATTGCCGATCTTGGTAGTTAATGTTACGATCTTCGCTCCTCGTACGATTATACTGTATGTATGTTTTATTGAATTTTTTCTATAACTTTCTTTAAAAAAAGAAAATTTTATGTTCTTTTTTTTTATTTTCTTGATAAAATTTTCTAATAAATTTTTGATACCTTTTGTAACACTGTGGCAAATTGAGTTTCGCTTTTTGACCTTTCAAAATAAGTAAAAATAAATTAATAAAAAAGAAATGTATTCTTTTTTATATTAAGAATCTATTTAGTATTCAAATATAATTCAAATTTTAAAGAAATTTGTGTATTTTTATCAAATACGTACGTCATCGTTTTACTGTGCCTTAAATGTTTAGCTTTATTTTAATTGGTTTATGTTAATTATTTTCTATAAAAAAGTCATTTAACTTTCCGTATTGTATAAAAAAGGAATATTTAAACAGCTGTCACACTGTGCTTTTATATGTATTGTGTTTTCTCCTTTTTAAAATAAAAGTAAAAAGTCAGGTTCTAAATTTAAAGAAATTTTTTTTTTTAATAAAATAAAAAAGAAAGAAGAAAAAATTAAAATTGAAATTGTTTATGAATATGCTAATAGGACTATTTAAATACCAGTTTCACTAGTTCTAATAAAAAAAAACAATAAGAAACAAAATATCAAAAAATGCCTTTGGATATGAATTGTTTTCTGGAAAAGAGATAATCGACAAAAAATTATAAACATTTTTAATTGATGATTATGACAGATCGTTTATAATAAAAAAATTATTTACTTACGTATGTATAAATTAAAATATTTTCTTAAGTGTGATTGTATATACAAATGGTTTCTCAATTACATCATCTGACCGGTCCAAATTGAAAGTTTTTTCTTTCATAAAATTTCTTTAAGTTTAAATTTAAATGAAATGGACCACCCCCTGTTATAAATTATAAAAAGAGTTTGTATTTGTAATGCTTTGTTTTTTTGGGGGAATTGTTTTTAGAAACATGATTTGCAATTTCGTGTTCCAGCATAAGAAACACAAAAGTTCGATTATACAATTAAAAAAAGTACAATTATTGTAAATAGGTATTTTGCATAAAGTACAGTGGAGTAGGCATATATAGGATTTTATGAGAAGTATGTAATTTTTTCTGCAACATTTCCTATGATCCAGAAACATTAGTTAGTTGCAATGGAGGATCTGTCAGATCCAAGGTAGTACACCAAGACTGTGGTGCGCTACTTTCCAGAGACTGTGTTAGGATTACAACACTAAAAAATAATATAGTTGGTCGTTAGACCGAGTCGGCGGTGGTTGGTCGCAGGCCAAGTTTTGGCAAGCCGCACCGCCGCCGACTCAGAAAGTTAAAAATTTAATTTTTACATACAAATTGAATCTTTTCTATCTAGCAAACCAATAAAAAGACATTTTTCTGTATAACAAACGCATATATAGAAAATTTTCTGAAAAAACAAATTCTCAGTTTAGATTTACTCATCATTTTAGCCACCGCCGGTATATGTTATAAGAATCCGGCGCCGCCGACCAAAATGACCGCCGGTCAATTTTGAAAAGTCGACCTATATAAGAACTAGAGTCATTTATCTATTTTATGCCGATTTGTAGTATATGAACATTACTAAATAAATATCTTTAATTGAATTCAGCATAATATGGGCTTTATGTCCTACAATGGAACCATCTTAACATAATTTGGCAAATAATTATTCTTATGAATCGTATTTATATCGAATATTAATAACATTTAAATGATTTGTTAATATAAATTATAGAATGGAGTCAATTATGTACCGATTCTCTCATATACTTAGAACTTGTTAATGTCTAATTTCATTGCGTTTTAAAGAATTGTGAGTCAATTAGGAATGTTAGTCTTTTTCTAAAATGGTTATCTTTTGGTAATTAAGGTAAAATGTGACCTGATTTTTACAGTATTGCTTTTAAACATTCAACTCAGAGATCTAAATATACTTTTATATGGTATTGAGCTGCGTAAAAGCCGATTAAGTTGGTTAATATATCTTGAATAACGGAAATGATATAAAAGTGTTTAAACCTTTCAGGTATAAGAGAATTTTAAAAAATTTACAAGCTGAAATATCAAAAAAAAAAAAAAAAGTAAGAGTGCTATATTCGGCTATGCGGAATATGCTTTTCTATAAACATCAGGGTGATATTACTCATCAAATTTACTGATAGGATCTTATATGAGAGGTAGGGTGAATCATTGACCGTTTTTATAAAATTTTTCATAATTTTTTTAGACCAATTTTTGTTCATACACTTTCCGGTAGGAAGATTTACGTTCCTATAAAAGTTTCTTAGCTTTTGGCGAGTAAGAAATTTACTTATCTCAAATTTCATCTCTACACTCGTACTTGTAAGCCAGTAATGAGCGTTAAAGTATTTATCTGGATGGGACCTTATGTAGGGGTAGGGTCAATTATGGACCGAAACACATAAAACTTGGTAGAGAGATTTTGACTCGCATGAAACATATGTGTATCGAATTTCATCGCTATACTTTTTTAAGCCAGTAATGAGCGTTAAAGACATTTTTTTAACGGGACCTTATATGGGGGTAGGGTCCATTATGAACCGACCCACATAAAATTTGGTAGAGAGGTTTTGGCTCGTCAGGGATTTACTAATATCAAATTTCATTGCTATACTAAATAGGCATAGATACTATCGGATATATAAAAATAACAAGTACGAAATTATAGGCGGGCGAGGCCGACCATATAACCCCATACACCAGTTATGAGAGTAAAATGTAATTTAGTTTTCATAATAAATGTATATCTCGCCTCCCATATATTCTAGCACTTTATTGTTAAAAAACTATTTTTCTGAAATATGCTTGGGGGAAGGACGCCATCATATGAGTCGATCCTCATAAAATTTGGAGGGCGAATTTACGATTACATAAAATGTTTTATGCTGAATTTCATTGCGACAGTTCTCTTTTTAAGCGAATTGTGGACACTAATTCTTTTTTAAAGCTGTTTTGTATGGGGGCTCGGATCAAAAGCCCGATCATTTCAAATTTCATCAGCGTATTTTAGGACAGTATAAAACAAAAGCACTACTCCGGAGAAACCCAATATACCATCCCTACTAAGGGTATAAAAAGGGCAATAAATAGGCATTGATACTATCGGATATCTATAATGGATGTCAACCTGTCAATAAGATGGCGAGAAGATAATTCCCTTGGTTAGTGAACACAGAATATAAGGTGGAGGAGACATAGGTGCAGTACAGGTGCTCTATGTAGCCTCGTATGGATCCCCATTACACATACTATTTAAATATTATTTGGAAACCATTGTAAATTTGGATATCATGGGTATTATTTTAGGTTTTTATTCTACTATTCAGTGCCTGGGATGGAAAGATTTTTATTCTAAGTATGTACTTTGAATTAATTTGTTTTTCTTTTCACAAAATGCTTATTGGAAAGTAAACACCTACTAAGAGTATTCATATTGCAATATGAAATAAAACTTTATTTTTGTCGGTAAATTATTAAGATTTTTTGAATTTTTTTTATATTTTTCGGGATTTAGAAATCCCGAAAATCCCGGGATCCCGATATCGGGATTCCGGGATTTATTTAAAAATCCCGAATCCCGGGATTTCTAAAAACCAGTCCCGATTGGCATCCCTAGTACCATCATACTAACTTCAGACTTGCTCATTTTGAGGAGATTTTTCGTCTTGCTCTCATCAGGGTCAACCCATAGGATCTTCGTGGTTCTACCCATTGTTTCATTATTCCAAGAGGCCTTATGGGATTCCCTCACTCATATTTTTAGTTCAGCTTTTGTTGCGTCGAATGGTTTTGCGTTTGTCAGGTTAACTGCCATGAGCTCCCTACCCTTTAAAGATATTAGGTCCAAAATTGACCCAATCCCCCATATACGAATATAACATTATTACATGTTTTTATTTAGTTAATTTTTGTAATACATATAATTCTAAAAATATATCTAAAGTATATAGAAACCACTGTAAATTTTTATTATTTATTTTATATTTAAAAATAATTGCAACAATAACAAAAAATGCCAAAAAATTTAACTTGTTTCTTTCTTTTTTTTCTTATACAACACTTTGCAGGCTGTAATAACATACGAATGAATTAACGAAGTAACGATCAAACCAAAGGTATTGTCAGCATTTGCCACACAATCAACCAGCAACAGCGGCACCAGCATCAACATCAACTAAACTAAATAACATTAACAATTGCGCAGCAACAAAGAGATTTTTTCTTCATAAAAAATAACTAAAAACCGAAAAATACCAAAAGTGTGTAACACCACCCTCACACGAGTAAGTAATAGATACGCTAAAGATAATAAATATACATATTTAGAAACAACAATAACAACGACAATAATACTATACTATTAATAAAATAAGATAGAAGAGAAAAAAACTACAATTCATATTTATAATGTTTCAACGGTTTAAACAAAACTTTACGCCAGCAACAAAAATGGTAGCAACAACAATAACAAAAACAATGGGAGCAACAATACCATTATTATGATTCACAGAGAATTTAAAGACGATCCAACAGCGATCAATGAATGAATGAATCACAAACTATTAAACTCTTTATTAACATTTGATTAATAAAATTAAACAAAAAATAAAATAAAGTATTAAACCTGAAAAATTCCAAAAATCAACAACAACAAAAACCTATCTAAAAAGACAATTGGAATATTAACAGCAAATAACCAAAACTTTAACGGAGATATTTAGACTGAAAATTACCAACAGAGTTGTTGTGTTCAAATTCGATACACTCTTGTTGGCTCATCAACCAATCAATAGCAGTAGCAACAACTACTACAACAATAAACAGCCACATAACTAAAGTCAAGAATATACAGAGATAGTAGTCGCAGTGGTGGAGCAGCGACTTGATCATCACAGCGACAGAACAGCAGAATCTTCACCATCATCTTGATAGTGAAACAACCTAATTCCGCAAAGCAGCCGATCATCAACAACAACAACAATAACACATCATACAAAAATAATACATCGCATCGTCTCACATCTCGACTCACAGGTTAAAGGCATGGCACACTTTTGCGGATTTATAAAATTGATATTTCTACTTCTGGTAAGTACGCGATCCACTTGAATAAAGTCTTTTGGTTATCAGTCCGTCTGTCTGTATATCTTTTTGTATGTCAGCCATTTATTCAGAGGCAGGCATCTTCATTTCGTAGACGTGGAAGTTTGATGAAACAGAATAAGACGTGTTTCATTGAGAAAATATGTATGAAGATGATGAAGAATAATGACGAAAAAATAAAATGAAAATTAAATTTTAAATTAATAAAAATTTTTAAATTAAAACTGTTTGGAATTAAAGAAAAAGATTTGAAAATTAATTTAAAGTGTAGAAGATGAAATACGAGTATATATTTAATTTGAAATTTATTTACGGATTTTTCATTAGTTTTATAGTTTTAGTTTGATGGTGTAAAACCTTTGGATTTTTTGAATCTTCCACGTGTTTTTTGATAAGAAATTTGATTTAGATAAATAATTTCATAACAATGACATGCAGGCAGGCTTGAAAGTAATGATTACATAAAATAAATCATGGTCAATTACAATTATTTGTAATGTGTAATTGAGCAATAACCAATTACAATTATTTGTAATTGAAATTTTGCGAATTACAATTACTTGTAATGTGTAATTGACCAATGATAAATTATAATTACTGGAAATGTAATTGAAATTTATACAATTTCAATTACTTGTATTATGTATTACATGTAATTATAAGTCCATACAATTCTCAATTACAAATACTTGTAATTGAAAATTCTTCAATTAAGATTACGGGTAATTATAATTGGCTAAACTTCAATTACAATTAAAAGAAATTGTAATTGTTCTTTACCAAATTCAATAACAATTACTTCAAATGCAATGTAATTAAAAGTGTAATCATTACTCCTTACAGTAGCATTTCTGTATATAAGAACAATACTTGTAAAAAATTCTATATGGATATCTTAATTTAGTAATGAGTTATGTGCGTTTAAGTGATTTTCGAGAGGGGACCTTGTATGGGAGCTATGCCCAATTACGGACCAATCCAGAATTTTTTTCCTCTGAATGAATTCTATTAGCATAAGATTTAATTTGTAAAATTTTGTGAAGATATCTACATTCGACGGAAGTTATTAACAATAAACTCATTTTCCGGGAATATGTACTTTTGTATGGGAGGTATATGAAATATTGGACCGATTCTGCCAATTTTCAACAGGAATCAAGAATCGTATAGAAACGAATGTATGATAATTTTCATTGAATTATATTGCATAGTTTTCCTTAAAATTAGAGAAGAATGTGTAAAAAATGATTATTTTTTTCGGAATTGTTTTAAATTTTGATACATAACTTTTCCCGAGGTAAACCAATTTTGCTCATTTTCAATATCAAACAACTTAGGAAAATGAAATTTGGTTAAATGCTATTGCATCGTTTTATCGTGAGCGTGTTTTACACAGAAAGGCGGACAGACGGACATAGCTAAATCGACTCAGAATTTGATAAGGACCCAGAATGTATATACTTTGTTGGGTCTCAGATGAATATTTCTTGGTGTTAAACACGGAATGGCAAAGTTATATATACCCTCTATCATCACTGATGGCGGTGGAGGGTATAACAATGGGTTTCTATTTGTAACTCCGGTACCAAAGTCTATTTTTTGGTATTTTTCGTTCCTCAGCTGATACATTCTGAGTTTTCTATAATAATGAACATAGAAACATAAAATTAATATAGACTTAAACAAGCATCATCCTGATTGTGCTTTGAATTGTTGGCGGATCGTCAACGTCGAAATACGAACTACCTTCCAAAATTATTGGTCCTGCACCCACCTTAAAGGATTCCAATCGGCTCAGAATCGCCAATATGTCCGTCCGTCTGTGTGTCATTGTAAACCTTGTGCGCACGCTACACAAACACGTAATTTCTATCCTTATAAACCTATATTATAAAAAATAATCCACGTACTCATTGGTGTAGGGTATCATATGGTCGGCCATGACCGACTATACATTCTTAGTTGTTTTTATAACTTTTGTTAATTTTTTGAGCTAGCAGTGAACATATTTAAATACATAAATCAACGCAGGCCTTATATCAGTCAGTTTTAAATGAAAGTGACACACCCATTAAATCGAATCCGCCCATGAGATCGCACCATACTAAATCGCATATTCAAACAAATTATTATCTTTCTAAGTGCTTTTAAACAAGAGTGCATATGCATACTTGTGATAATGGAACGTTGGGTAGGAAAACTAAAATATTCTGGGGTAACGTCAACCGAAGAATAAGTTCGAACTTAGTTTATGCGAACGGCTATACAAAATTGGATAAGTACAGAAGATGCGGAGAGGACACATGTACATACATACAATTCAGCATAAATCCGTTTATACAATATACATAATACTCTTATGATCATAACAAGTATTTAATAAAAACAAATTCAAATGAAACAAGTAAGAAAGTATAGTCGGGCGTGGCCGACCATTGATACCATAATAAAGCATTTATCTTCAATATTCCCTTGTTCCGATACATTTAAGCAATTTATGGATGAAAAACTAATTTTCTGAAAAAGGTTTTATATGGGGGCTAGGGGCAAATATGGACCAAGCCCGTTCAAATTTTGTGAATATATTTATATTTACATAATATTTTATTGTGCTGAATTTCATCGCGATATTTGTGTTTATAATTTAATTTGGGACATTCAAGTAATTTTCTGAAGGGAGCTAGGGTATTTTCTTTGTATGGGAGCTAGGGTCAAATGGGGCCCGATCTTTATGAAATTTGGCAAGGTCATCAAGACTTCTATAAAACTTAGTTGTGCCGTATTTTATCGATATATATGTATATTTAACATAATTATGAGCTCAGAAGCCCTTTTCGGGGGATTCTGTTCTATGGGGGCTATAATGGACCGATTTTAACCATTTTAAATAGGCTTCGTCCTTGGATCAAATAAAACGTGGGTGCCAAATTTCATCCAATTATCTTGAAAATTGCGACCTGTACCTTGCGCACAAGGTTTACATGGACAGACAGCCAGACGGACATAGCTTAATCGACTCAGAAAACGATTCTAAGCCAATTGGTATACTTTAAGGTGGGTCTAGGACGAATATTCTTGTATGTTACAAACATCAGCACAAATCCAATATACCCTCCCCACTAAAGTGGTGTAGGGTATAATAAATTACTTTAATTTCTTAAATGAATTTGAAATTAAATTACAAACCTATTTAGCAAACGAATTAATCGTTTCAGTTTGCAACAACAAACACATATTCATCAATTAGAATGGCAACTCTGTCAATTTGATATAATTCGTATTAAAAATATTGAAAATCAAACAAGGCAACAAGTTGTTTGTAAACATTTTTTAATTGAAATACAAAAACGTTACAATTTGATTAGTATTTATGTTTGTACAAAGAATTCGAAAAAATATGAATATTTGTAACAATTACAATGAAATAGAGAAAAAACACATAAAAATTAATAGAAAAACACAACATGCTAAGAATGTTGTACAAGTAGTATTGGTTGGGTACGGTGTCTGTGTGTGTACATAATGTTGTGGCTGCTTCATTCATTCATTTCATTGCTCATGTTGCCATAAATACAACAATGAATTTTGTTTGCCTGTTTGTTGCATTCACTTGCACAATTTGTAATAATAAAGTATTTGGAGTACAGAAATCAGAGTGTAAGAAATCAAGTAATTTGCAAATTATTTTTAAAACTACCATAACAGCAGCAACATTAATAAGTACTATACAAATTAAAAAGCTAAATTAAAGAAATAACATAAATGTGCAACGAATACAGTGATCCACTACATTATTAAATGGCTTGATTTTTGTCTGAATTAGACAATCTAATTTCAACTACTATTCTGTAAATTCCCTTTTCAACAGATAGTTTAATTTTTTCCAGTATTTTTCATTATGGAAATGGTGGTAGTTGCTCTAATCAATGAAGTGGATGCATGTATATATCCTGTACACGATTGCCCTACAAGTGGAAAATTTTACTCTTCGTTCTGTTTTTTATTATTTATTGAAGTATTTATTCGATTCAAATAGATTTCTTTCTTATATACAATCGCGTGCAATTATTTAATTTGTTTGTTGTTATTACAATTTTTTGTTATTTCTATTGCTGCTGGTTTTGTTGTTGCAGTTGTTAGTTTGTTTTTGCTGTTTCACTTAATCGAAGGCTCTCAATTAAAATATGACGATTTCATTTGTATTTCAAACCAATTAAATTATCAAATCCACTTATATAATTGCATACAATTGTTCTCAAACTCATACTGTAACGAATTGTAAAGTGAATTATTTATTTATGTTTTTCATTCGAAACTCCACTCAAGTCGTTTACAATGGAAATATCTATTCAAATGGTTAATCGTTTAATTAGTATGAAATCGTTTGACTAGTCGTCTAAATGTAATGACTTGTTGAAATTGTTAGAATGTATGTCATTATAAAACTGGATGCGCTTTTTAAAGGATTGGAATGTGTTTGCAGAGAAAAAAAAAACGAAAGACTTAAGAAACAAACTTGTATTAGAAGTTGTGTGAGTTGGAATGTCTGGAAGTATTTCATTATGTAGTTACTTATTTAAATTTCAAATACATCTTAAGTTAATTGAAAGGTAAACTTTTAAAATTTTTAAAATTATTTTAAATAATACACTTGCTGTCTTAAAAATGTGTATTTATATTATTTGCAATTAATTTTAAACTACTGGTCTGTGTAATTAATATTAAAAATATTAATAAATATATTAAAGATATTGATTAGTATTGGGGTTATTACATATTCTAAAACTGAGTGAAAAACTACTCTGCCATCTGTCGGACAAACTAGAAAATTTACACGATCACTCCTTAGGAGTAGTAGTTCTTAAGTTTTTCAATTATGAACAAATATTTCACTTTTATTAATATAATTTTTTTAACAATACCGACACCAAATATTACATATTTATGAATTTTAATAAGGTGGACTTAATACATTTCCACATAAA